CCTTAATTTTATGAAATATTATTTTTTTCCCAAAGTTGTTTTTTCCTGTCTTTAACTCTGCATATTTTATATTCGCTAGACCAAGTTCGCCTCATCTGAGGATGCAAATATGTAGATACAAACGTGTACGCGCATGTAGCTGTGTTGTGTTATCTTGTCTGTAGGGGGGGTGGAGGAAGAGATCTTCCTTTCGGTAATTTTTCTGCGCGAGACACTTTAACATATCAGTTAAGTTGAGGGCGTTTCAAAGCAACATCTTTTTTGTCACCTTTAAAAAAGTTGAAAGTGAACCTGGCACGGTTATTCCATGGTATCAACACATGCGCAATTAGCCTCACAAAGGTATGCATAGTTAAGCATATAAAAGCACGTACATATATACATGTATAATGCAGGAATATCCAGTACCAAGACACAGCGATCAGCATTTTGAACAGCGCCGTTTGCTCGTTTTTTCACCATTCCACATACAAAAAAAAGGCGTAGCGGTGATACCATAATGAACATATGTCTGTCCCCCATAACCAACAAAAGATACGTGATAAACCCAGTTGCCTACTTTTTATGATATATCTTGTTTCGTAAGAACAGAAGCATCATCGCCACAAAACGTTGCAGAAATTTTTGCTTCATATTTTTACAGGCGCGTCGAACGGGATAGCATGGTCAATTGCGTGGTTCATTTAATTTTTGTATGCTAATATAACTGCACGGAGGTATGTTCATACGTATGTATAAAAAATATATGCTGCGGAGGATGGAGAAATGATTACTTAAATAATATATATAGTACACTATATGTACCATTACCTACATAAGAAGGCGGATAATTTTCATAAGCAAAAAAAGGGCTATTTTTTCAAATTATAAAAATAGGCATGACAGCAGATTATTATACTGATTTGTACATACCGCAAGGATTGGTAATATTTTATATGGTGGCATAACGCATGGATTTTTTTTTTTATATGGTGGTATGCGGCATGCACTGCGGAAATTTTGGGGGGTCCGGCGGTCCTGCATAAAAAATATGCGTGAAAAAAAAGCTGGGATTGTAAAAACCCCTTTATTTATTTTGCTTATAGCGGAAGCAAACGCGTAATGCCATTAATTGTACGCATCGAGAAAAGTAGGACGTAGTAGAAATGCATTTCTGCATATATGAATGAATCGCACTTTCCCTTAAATTATCACATCGCAGTTATCTCCTCGCAAAGGCGTACATAATAAATATATGTAGTGGATATTTTTTTACCCATAAAAATAAATGGTGAAGGATTTCTGTTGCCAGAATTGCTCTTTCCGTTTTATTTGAAAAATAATTTATCCCACAAATGTATAATTTATAATGTTATATGCGCAGAAATACGCACGTATGAGTTATGTACATATTTGCACGTAATATAATAAACCGTATCATACATTACTTAAGTACGCTTTGAGACGACCGAATATATATACATAACATAATATTTTTACATATATTTTTTTTTTATACTCATGTTTTTTATATTTAAATGTTTTAAGTATGCGTCGTGCCGATCAGCAGTGCGGCTTACGCGGGTGTATATTATGCATACGGCGTATATATGGCATATAATATATATATTGCGCTAAAGAAGCTTCGTTACTTTGCTTACTCATTTTTTAGTTGCCCCATTCCATTGCGCATATATCTTCGTACTTTATATGTACGTTTTTTCGCTTAAAATAATAAGCAATTTTACAAAATACCACAAAAACAAATAACTAAAATTAAACGCGTTTGGCATGCTATATTATATATATAAATATTGTTTTTATGGATCCTGAGTAAGCATATTCAAATGGTAGGAAGGAATATATTTTTTTATTCACTCTCATTTTTTTTTTTAAATATTTCTTTTCTTAGCTTTTTTTTTTCCCTCCCTTTTTACCTTTATATATTTTTACATTTTTTTTTCTTTTTATATAATTGTTCATTTCTACGAGTTTCATTTGGTTTTAATTTTTTAACCTTTAAAATTGTTAAATTATTGCGCATATATTTTGTATAGCTTTGTTTTTTTTTTTTTTCTTCATTTTTAAAAAAATAACAAAAACTGTGCCAACAAAAAGGATAGAGTAGGAGATATACATGTATAGTACATACTTATATATATAAACGTGTATGTATAATTACGTACAGAGGAGAGTATACATGCGAGTATAAGTACAAGCACGTACAGTATAAGAAGAAAGGTATCCATTTATATATATGTACTATTGAAGATAGCCATTTTTTTGCAAAGCTCCATCCATATCCCCCCATCACAACATCTGTGATCCCTCTCTAACTCTGCAAAATAAGTACCCTTAGTGTACTTTGTTTTTAAAATGTAAAATGGTGGTTTCACCACCCAAAAAAAGAGCATTAAATACTACTGACGATAAAATAGAAAAAAAAAACATGGTTAGCAAAAAAAGTAACCCAGCTGAAGCTGCTGAAAACGTTGAGGAAAGTCTGGATAATGTAACTGGGGACAACAAGAATGAAACTTTGAAAAAGGAGAAAAGGAAAAAAAAAGAAAAAAATAACAAAGAAAACGACATCGATAAAATTAATGACGAAGGGGAAGAAGATGAAGGAAATGATGAAGAAAATTTAAAAAAATTCGAAGTGGACACAAGTGAAAATGACGATGAAGACGACGATGATGATGATGACGATGACGACGACGAGGAGGATGATGATGACGACGATGATGACGACGATGATGATGACGATGACGACGACGATGATGACGATGACGACGATGATGATGATGACGATGACGACGATGACGATGAGGAGGAGGATGAGGAAGATGATGACGAGGAAGACGATGATGATGACGACGAAGATGATGAGGATTTTGATGATATGGATGATGATGATGATGATGACGACGAAGATGACGAAGATGATGATGACGATGATGAGGACGAGGATGAAGACGATGAGGATGAGGATGACAAGGACATGGGCGGAGACTCCAAAAAGGAGGGTGGATCGCACACAAAGAAGGACAGCGGGGACGAGGCATTTGACTAACATGCGGTATGCGGCGCAACGCGCGCAGCCGCGTTAGCAGCAATATGTATATTAATACACATATTAAGATATGTACACTTTTTTTAAATTAAAGAAGAGAGGGATTATGAAAGAAGGAATATTTCAACGGCTCAAAGCCTACTGTTCAACCTTTTTATAAATGAGGATATAAATAATATACTCCACCATGTTTCTTTAAATCATATCGCGCAGTTTTTAAATATTCATTTGTGTATTTTATGTGTTATCCTATTACATTATAGAAATTATATATAGATACGTACGGACATACATACATCCACATACTCATACATCCACACATACATACATACACACACGTATACGCACATATACATAATATGTACATATGTATAAAGCACCTGTTGTATATGTTATTGTACCTGTAGACTTTTTTTTTTTCTGAAAATAGTTGTTCTACCTCTTATTTTTTTATGTTGCAATTTGAACATTTAAAATATTTTACATGTATTACCACAAGAGCAAAAAAAAGAAAAGAATATATATGTAACAAAAAATAACTAAATTTAAAAATTCAAAATAACAAAAGAATTTGAACATAGATGAAAAAATATTAAAAGATTTTTGTTTTCCCAAATTGAAAAGCCCGCCTCCGGAGGGGCATGCAAAATATGTGTAAGTACGCGTGTATATTGCATGTGCGCGAATATAAGTGCCACCAATGCATGTACCACGTCAATATGTGCCGTTTCTTATTTACATATTACACGCATGTATATAGGACATATGTATATCCTGCCGTGTATGATAATTAATTCGGGGGACTGTTTTTCCACGACTAACTCCTTTTTTAACAGTTCAAAAAATCGAGCATAAATTACTAGAGACATTTTTAAGATGGCATTTCATGATATTTTCAGGTTAGCTATGTCCAGGGCCTTGTAACAGCGGAATTGCTAGTAGGCGCGAGGCGATAAGCGTGTACATGTGTATGCCAACATATACAAATAGTTTCGCGTGCGTATTCTTATGGCCTAATTTGACTCATTCAGCAACTTATATTCTTTTTACTCCTTTAAAATGATAGAAACGGGGTGGTACATGAATTTTATCCCAATTTAGGGCAATTTTACCAATTTGTTATTCGCAAGAAAAAATGCTTGCATAAGGGACGGGGAATACGGGATAGGCGCGCCCTGAATGCGTATAGGATGTGTGCCACATGCAGGTATACATGTTGCATAGGGATGCATATTGATATAATTATATGCATAAGGATACACGAAGTGGAGGTGTCCCTGATTGTTCTCAAAGCGTTTATGTATTTCCTCACAGGGTACATTTGGCCACTGCATTTTCTTCTTTTTCCTCTAAAGTAAAAATGATGTTCCCCATTTTTTGCATACAACTATGTCGAAGAAGAAATTGAAAATACGCACCTGCAAAGGTGTTACATGGGAAAAATGGTAATAGTGAAGTGCAAAGGAAAAGGAAAAAAATATAAACAGTTCATGCAACATCTGTGTTTGAGAATGTACACCTTCCGCTTACATAAAAATGAAAAATGAGAAAATATGCTACCTGTTTTTTTTAACCAAATAGCATCATCATACACTTCAAGATATAAGAAAAACGATTTACAAAAGTTAAAATAATTTCGTCATAGTTGTCATTGCAGATTCTGCTTCTGCATAAAATATACAACAGAACGTTATATTTTGATTTTCTTAAACCGCTTAGTTTGAGAAAAAAAAAAACACAACAGCTAGTCATTTGTACAGAAAAGTTATCACAAACTTTGGCTAACCAAGATGTCGAGTAAAACATTTTTGCGATTTCTTCTCAAAAGCATGAAAGTGGTGGTATAACCAAGAATAGAGGGCTCTACTATGAAGATAAGATTAATTGCGACATTTTTTACGATCCTTGCTGAGGAATAATTGCTGGAAAAACATTCGCATGGAACAAAATGAAGGCAAATTGTGTGCTGTGCTATAAGTGCAAGAAGAAGAATGCTGTAGTCTGCACGAGGGAGAAATCATGCAAGGATTGCTTTTTACAACTGGTCGAATATACGTTTAAGAATACGTTAAGGGAAAAATGCCTATTTAAAAACAAGGGGGGTAACAATATTCAACTTCCAGGACAGCTTGTACAGAAAAATGATAAAAGGGAGCATATACAGGAAAGAAAGTGTAATAAACCGGTTGCACAAGGAGGATATGCACCCTGCGAACATGGACACTTCGCGGGAAGAAGCTGTTGCAAAGAGGTGAACGAAGGAATGTACTTGGACGGGACAGAAAGGAAGGGAAAAAATGTCACCACATTGAGTACACAACCGCATAAGAAAAAAACAGCTATCGCGTTCTCCGGGGAAATATGCTCGTCTTTTCTACTCTTTCTGTTTGTAAAATATTTGAAAAACGTCAAAAATAGGAAGAATGATTTGTTGCTGACAAATGAATATTGCGTTTTTAGCGAAATAATATTCGTAGACATTTTTCAAGATGAAAATTATATTCTTAGCTTGATAGGATCTATCGAGCAGATGTTTCGCGGTTTCAAGGAAAGCGGCGATTCGAAGGGGGGCAACAACGATGAGGCGGAGGAGGAAGCCTCCGAAGATGGCGTGGACAAATCGGCATACCACGAAGCATACCACACGCACAGCAAATCTGAAGAACACGGGGAGGAAACCCAAGACAGCCGTAAACATGACGAATCGTCGCCCCCAGAAGGCTGCGAGAAGATACTGTTCGTCAACGGGGTGTTTAAAAAAAAAATAAACAAAGTACACTTCACAGTGTTAAAAAGCAATTATTTTGTGAATGCACATCATAAAAGCGAATTCCTAGAGCACTACGACTTGGTGAAAAAGGAAAAAGGTTATTACCTAAATTACATAAACGAGCTAGTTATATACAATGCCATTTTAAAGTACAGCATAGACGAGAAGATCAATTACGTCCTCTTTGGAAATAACGCAAATAATATTTCCAACAAATCATTTCTGTACACCATATTTGGTAACGGAATAAATCTACCCATATGCACAGCGTATATAGACAACCGATATAAGAATATAAATTTGATTAAGCCATTGAGGGATCTCCTAAATAAAGAAATATATATTTACTGCTATTATAAAAATATTACCTACTTACGGAACACATCCTTTGATGGGAATATCGTCTATAGGACCATCAATGAAATGCTGTCTTCTCTGGATTCGAAGAATAACACTTCATCCATAATTAACAACACGACGGGCAATTTGGTAAACATGGCCAATTTGATGAACGTGGGGAATGAGGCGAACATGGCGAGGGTAGCCAGTGCAGCCAAAATGGCTAACTTGACAAGTGCGATGCAACATTCCCATGGAGGAAAGAATCAAGAGGACTACATCCTCACTGATGTGAATACGCAAGATGGAGAAAAAAATAGCGACACAGAAGTTATCCCAGAGAAGTTACACATCTACAGAGATACTGAAAGAGATCACGCCGCGAAATACATGAAGAAGTACGCCAACACGTATAAGAGTTTTTTTGCCTGCTATATATGCTCAGGCAATAAGGAGACACAAGAACAGAAAACGTTTATAAAAAAGATGAACAAAATTCAGTTGACAAACTTGGAGAAAATGAGGCACACCAGTTTGATTTGTTCCACGTGCCTGAGCATATTTTCTTCCAGCGACAACTGCGTGAATCTGTTCAATGTCTTTTTTGACATTTGAGTTTGGCAAGATTTTGCACTTTTCCGGCCAGCCGCGTGCTCGATGGCACTACGCCCGGTAAGTTTGCGGCTATCTGTTCTATGCCCGATGACTTTGCGGCTATCTATTCGACGCTCGGTGACTTTTCGCCTAGTTGTTCGACGCCCGGTAGTTCCTCGTCCAATTGCTTTGAGCAGCCCCTTTTTTTGCAACTGTACCCTGTTCCCACCGAACGCCGACACCGGGGTGTGAAAAGCACGAAGCTTCTCCCCACTTCTGTCACAGCGTAAGGGGAAAGACGCATATCTGTAAGGTAAAACCCAGACGGAGTGTAATCACAGCCAGTCGTCAAAATTGATATTTTCCTTCTTTGTTCCTTTCGCGTGCATAATACATTCCTGCGAGTTTTGCGCGGGTTCCTTTAGGAAGGGTTGGGAAGGCGGGTGAGTGAATGCATATGGGCGTCGATGCGTCAAAGCATGTGAACATATCTATGTGCACATATGTATGTGTTTGTACGCTTCCGTGCGCGCGAACGTGCCTTCGCCGGGGCTGCTTCCCCCTTCACGCGTCTTACATTGGGCCCTTCGCCATCCCTGTACAGGTGCATTCGAATCCTCCTCTTGATTTTTTCAATTTTTTTAATGTGTATTTTTTCCTGGTTTTCTGCCCATACTGGGTCGCCCTGTTGCTGAAGATTGGCATGGGGAGATATTTTGAATGTCCATTTGGCTTTGTACATACGTGCACGTGAACGTATGGAAGCGTTCTTATTCGCGTGTTTGCTCATTCGCGTCTGTGCGCATGTGTTCGTATGAACCGTACAAGCGCAAGCAAAGGCATATGTTTATTCCACCACACAAATTTTAACTTCTCATTTCTGTACCTTAACTTTGTTTCTATACGCATCAAAAAGGATCGACTTGTCTAAGGATTCGAGCTCCTCTGTCCACAATTCGTAAATATTCTTGGAGGTGAGAAGAAGTGAGTGGAAAGTGGGTGATTATATGAATACGTTGACCTTATGTGAGGGTAGAGAAAGGATCTTACGTGGGGTATTCCATGTCTGGGTGTCACCATCTAGGGAAATTTGCTCACCCATATGGTCATCTCTTGATCTTACGTTGTAAATAACGTAGTTTTGATAGGCGCTGAAGAGATCTTTGTGTATTTGCTCAACTTTTTCTTGCGCCTTCACATAGGGGACGATGCATTTCTCGAAGTACTTGAGCTCCCCTTCGCTGTACACTTGGTGGGTAAGAAGTACACGGGGGGGTGTAGATAGGTGGGTGTATGGAGGGTCAGTGTGGGGGACTAAGCGTCCCTTCGTAAGCGAGTGCCGCTATCTATAACTAGGCGGCCAAGGAAGCGAACAACGAAGCGACTAAGAAAGCAGCCCAGCATGGTAGGTTACTTTTCTTTGCCTAACTGTTACTGAAAGGGAAATAATAGGGGGAGATGTTTTGTCTAGCTAGCTTGATCATTTGTTCTTTTTTGCTATTGTCCAGCTTTATTTTTTTCATTAAAATTTCCAGCTTCTTTAGCTCCTCCTTTGGCAGTGAGGTGGTGTAGTCAGATGGGTTCGAGCGAAGTTAGACAAAATGGCACCAGATGACATAAATGTAATGTCTACATGGGGATAGCGAGAAGCATAACCACTCGGTTGTGTTTGTTCCCCTCTGTATGTCTATTTTTTTTTTTTTTTTTTTTATCGGAACTCACCGTGCTGCTAGCATACATAGGGGAGAAATACTGATAATTGGAAAAATTGGAATAGGAAATGTTGTACGCAAACGTTAGGGCATCTTGTATGATTCGCTTCCTCAAGTTAAGTCTTTCCTCGCTAGTCATACTAGAATAATTTTTCTGAGAGTTTCTATTGACGTCCTTAATTCTGAAATGCATTTTGTTGTCCTTGTTTTCGTGTGTTGTGCAAAGAATGTGTCTCGATGTTTTTCTCCGCAACGACTACGAATTTCTCAATTAGCAGAAGGGGCGTAGCGGCACATCAGAAGACTCACCCACATGTGTACATTTTAGTGAATATACGAGGGTATATATATGGTCATGGGAATATCAGGAGTAAAATTTGCCGCTTATCTCTGTGTACACGTGGAAACTGTACACAGGTTGTCTTTATTCAAATCCTTAAATTAGAACGCCTCCGCGGCATGGCACCAGACGTTTTGCCAACATGTAGCTGCGAAAAGAAAAAGTTGGAATCGCAGCAGCAATCCGAAAGGGTAACAAAGGGGTGGGAAAAAATGGAAAAAACACATAACCTGAAAGAACACCAACAAAAAAGTGAAGAATTAAACGGGCAATCCGATACACACACGTATGCTACGACGAACAGGGTTAAACTACGAGGAAGGAATTTTTTGCATGAAGTATGTGCTTATATGTGCACGGGAGAAAATTAAACCGGGGCCGCCAACCTTTGCGAGGAATATTTCGCACGGGAGGTGAAGACGTGGCAAAAATAGGTATGCGCGCGGTGTCTTTTTTTGTTTCGTTACGGTTAGTTATGTTTCATTTTTTCGGTGACGGAGGTGACATATATTGCGAAGCTGCTAACACCGGTTGTTGGGCTGTCACGCACACGCCAGTACTTGTAACGTTATACAACTTTAAATGTACCCTACGGTGTAAACCACATAATGGGGTGCAGACTGAACTGCGCAAAATATCTCGCGGCGGGTTGTAAAGACATGGCGATAGGCCATATGGACTAAAGGGGATAAACGAAAAATTTCCGCGTGGAATTGGGGTTAACTTCTATTGGTGCATGCGCACAATTTAGAAGAAACAAAACATGTGTACGTTGTTGGGGAGTAGTTTTTTTTTATGCGTGCATTTGTGCAGGCATATCCTTGTGCGCCAATTTGCTAGCTTGGCAAAAGTGAACGAACAAAAAGAAAAAAAAAAGGAGGGGGGCTATATCTTTGGGGGGCCAGGCGGACACTTCCCGAAGGGGACAAATGATAAACGAAGTAAAGTAAATGAAAAAAAAAAGAGCGCAAAAAGAGAGAGCAAAATGCAGCGCCAAACGGGCCGCTTAACGCCGAGGCGTAAAACCGACGTTCAAGGCTTCCCTGGCGGGGCGACCTAATTAGACAAAAGGGAAGCATTCATCCTCTTGTGGTATTTAAAGGAGAGGCGCACAAAAAAAATGGATACGATGGAAACGCAGGAAGAAATGAAAAAAGGGGAGAGCTGACTTTCGATGTAGTAGTAGCTATAAATGATGGGGGAAATGGTGAGGGATAAATATCTGAAGAAGGAAACGATGCTTTGGGAAAACAGTTGATCCTTCTTGGCAAAAAATAAAGATATTATGGTTGGTATGATGGGCTCTATGTAGGCATAGGAGCACGAATGGATGAAGCAAATGCTAATGTATTGAAAAATTATGTTATAATATTTTATGCTGTTGTAGGTCAGCAAAATTCCTGTGCTCTGTATCAGCAATCCTATAATTGCCGTGCCTGTAGTGACGAAAAGGAAGGAGAGTAAGATGGTTCAAGTGTCGCGGCGAGGTGGCACTTGTGCTGGATCCGCCTGACAAATTGTCCCTCCCCCAATTTATCATCCTGCTAAAGGAAAAAGACACATGGGGGAAGGGGCGGAAGGATCTCCTCCCTTCGTACCGTTGTATCCAAACGTTTTCAAAATATATGAGAAGGAAAAATACTGGTAGAAGATCATGATAATTCCGCTCAGGGAGACAAAGACGCTGATTTGTATCTGCTTGTTGTCTGTTAGGAAAAAAAAAATGGGGGAGGGAATAAATATGCGCGATGTTAAAGTGTACGTGTGTGTTTTGCCCTCTCGTGCTTCCCACTCGAATAAACAGCAAAGTGCTGCGGCATGATTAACCGGACGAAACGTTGTCGTTGTAGAATACAAAAAAAATGTTGCTCATCAAATTGGAGGAAAAGGCTGAAGTAAATCTGAACATGCAAATCGAAAGGAGGCACTTCAATTTGTAAGAAAGAGTCGTGTGAGCAAGGGCACGAATCTTTTCCTTCACGTAGAGGGTCAGCCTGGTGATGTAAAAGTAGTCCCGTCTCTTCAAAAATTGCTGATAGGATAGTTCGGAAAATTCATCATTGTCGTAATTGAAAAATTTCCTCTTGTAATTTTCGTCAGGGTGTTTTTTTTTCTTATTCAGCAGGTAGCTATTTGCAGAATAATCACCTGCCGAATTTCCACCGGCAGAATTTCCACCTGCCAATTTTCCACTCGCATAGCGCCCAGTCTCATAATGCCCAGTCGCATAGTTCCCATTAGCCGAATTGGCTCCTCTTTTGTAGCTAGACGTTTCGTGTTTGTTCCTCCCACTGTGTGAACGATCATTTTTAAATTCTGACTGGACCAGGTCCTTCAGGTACGCGGAATTTTTTCCGCCGTTGCATGGTAGATTTTTTTGCGCATGTTTTTTTTTCTGCCCATTCGTGTCAACATTGAGGGTGATCAAATTAGCATCTTCGATTATGTCTTTTTTTATGTTGTCCTGATTTTGTGCTAGTAACTCACTGGAAATCGTCAAGACAATTAGAAGAGAGACAATTAACCCAAGCGTGTTAAAATTTAATATAATTTCAAAATTAAATATGCTTAAAAAGAGCGAAGATAACAATGGACCCAGAATTATTCCAATTGCATTAAATACATTTATGTACGTGTAGTAAATGCACACATCTGTGTCAACCAGATCGTTGATTATGGCATTAACTACAACGATGAACACTGAGCTACTGCCACATATAATTCGATTAAGAATTAATAACGGGAAATTCAACTTTACGTAAAATAGGTACATACCAACCAGGTTTAACAGAATTAAAAATACAAGTAAATGCTTCTTGTTGATGGAAGAAAAGAATCCTATAATCAAACACATTACACATTGGGCGAGAGAATAAAAGCTTAGTAAAATTCCTAACTCCTTCACTGGGATGTCGTAATAATTTAATATATAAAATGGGAGCAGAGGCTGTAGAAAGGATTCAAATAGAGTCTTGATAAACACAGATAGGAGAATTTTGAACAGGGTTTTTTTCTTAATTTTTTCGTACTCTTCATTATCATAAAATAGGTTTTCATCCTCCGTTTTCGCTTTCATTCTATCTGCTTGCTATTTTGTCATTTACGTGCAGGGGACTTCTTCGCGGTGGGCGCGGCCGGCGGTTTTCGCGATTGACTAGGCTGTCGATTGGCGTTTTGCACGGCTGACTGGCCTGGCAGCTGGCTTTTTGCTCTTTATGTGTACACAGCCAACCTCCAGTAGGGTCAGTCTCCTGAGAGGATAATGCCTGTGGGAGCCCCTCTTCCGCAGGTACGATGCCCCTCTTCTAACAGCGCACTGCTGTCACTCCGCTAATGGGTACGCGCGAGGTGAGGGGTAACCATTCGCACTTAGGAGCACCTAAGGTAGTATGCCCAGGGAGAGAGGTGAACACATACGTAAATACTTCGCGTACACCCATGAGTAGGCGAAAAGGGGGCAAGGTTAGAGGTTTAAAAAGAGGGCTCCTCTATAGGCCTCTTCAACAGGACTCCTCAACAGGGCTCCTCAAAAGGAGAGGGAAGGGGAGGGGAGAAAAATTTCGCGCAAGGTGAGATGTCGAAGGAGGGCATCCGAGGGGGTGTTAATTCGCTCCTTTTAGCTCCTATATAATCCGTCCATATATTGTCCCCGATATTTCACTGCGACGTCGTACCTATATATTTTGGCCCTGATATTTCACTGCGACGTCGTACCTATATATTTTGGCTCCGATATTTTTCCGCGATGTCGTACCTCTGTATCTCGCCTCTATACCTTTCCGCACGCGATGTTACTATGTGAACGCTTCCCATGTGACTCGGAATCCGCAAATTTTCTCCTTTTTTTTTAACTCTCCAGAATTCCTCTCCACATATAAACACAACGCACTGAGGGGTATGTCAGGAGGGGAGTGAAATTCTTAAGGAAAAGGAAGAAGGAATTTCCTTGCGACTACGGTGGAACAGGGACTTGGGGGAGCCTCTACTGATAAGAGCACGTGGTGCCATATACCTCCTGCACAGGGATAAAATGCGTACGAATATGCACTTGCATGGGGTATAAATACGCGTGTAGGTGCACAGGCGTGGCTTTGTAGAATAGATACGCTTGTAAAGTTGAGATGTTATAGGTTATATGTATCTCTGGGATTGTACGTCCTTGGGATGTGCGTGTTCGGGATGTAGGCCTTTGGGCCCTAATTCTTTCAACTGTACGTCTTTTTGTGGATGCCCCTATGGCAGCATTTCAGGTATGCACGCATCCACGACGGTATGCCGACCCCAGGAACTCAGGAAAGCTCTAACTGTGTGTCTCTGTGTACGCAAAACGGTTGAAATAGGCCCTTCTTTTTTTTTGCAGATGCATGTGTTCTTTAGCTAGGGGGTTAAGTATGTGTACTCCCATGTATCTTTTAACCCCTTCTTATAACTGGTATGCGTAAAAATACTACACAAAATGACCCCCTGATTTATGTTACTCAATTTGATGAATTTAAATAAAAGAAAATTTCTTAAATGCATTATTTTTATTTCACTAAAATATATTTTAATGAAAAAAAATAAAACAAAATAAATTTCATTATTTCTTTAAAAAGGGAAAGAAAAAAAACAATCTTATATCATCTTACACAAACAAGTGTAAAAATTGTTAAAAAAACTCTTCAAATGTAACATTTTTAAAACTTCAATAAACTTACAAATTGTAAATGTTTACAAATTGTAAAATCTTGCAAAACGCAAATTTCGCAAATCCAGGAAAACCACGGCATTAAACGGAGGCTGGCCTTAAAGTCAAGGCGAACAAAAACGCAGCCACCCCAGGAAACACATAACAAGAAAGAAACTGCTCTTGAGCTTTTTACAAGTTTTGAAAAATTAAAAAAAATATAAGCACTTCAAAGGGTAAAAAAAAACAAGTGTTAAAGAGGTTTTCCTATTCGACGTAGCTACGAAAGTCGTTTAAGTAATAACCCCACAGAAGTATCCCAGGGAAAAAAAAAAAAAAAAAAAAAACCAAAATAAAACAAAACGAAACCACGAGAAGGTAAGGCACATTGGGCAGTTTTGTTCAAATTTAAGCTCCACAAATGAGAACTGAAACAGTAAGGCCCAGTCGCGGGAGCAGCTGAAGTATACACCACCATCAGAGGTATACGCCATCGAAGAATAAGCACAGCAACGAAGAACCATGCGGTTAAGCAACAGCCAGCGGCGAAGTCGCGCAAGAATTGCAACTCTGCATAGGTTCACGTACGTGTTACATATATTCCACGACCCAACCCCGAAAGGTGCATGCGGAAGGTGGGAAGAAAATTAAGTGCTCTACTCCTGTTCTTACTCTATCAACAGATTGACCTTAAGGATTACAACTGTATTTCCATTTCTGCATGTTTTTTTTTTCACGCGGTTATTTTTTCCTCCCCGTTTAGAAAGTTCACGCTAAATGAAAAGCTGATTTTTCACTTTTCTCTGCGTGCTTGGTTCCACATCTATATTTTATTATTTCCGCTTTTTTTTCGCGCGCGTTTTTTTACATTTTTGCCATTTTGGCCATTTTGGTCATTTTGGCAATTTGGCCCTTTTCGCCATTTTTTCCATTTTTAACCATTTTTTCCATTTTTCACTATTTTTTCCATTTTTCACCATTTTATTCCTTTTCGTACCAGAGTTTTCCCTTTTTTTCGTTACATCCCATTTCTTTCGCTGGACCTCCCCCAATTAAGCCATTCCACTTCGTGTTTTTGTCCCATTTTCTCCTGTTGTTGCCCATTATTCTATTATTGTGAGTTATTTTTGCTTTTCTCTGGTCTGCACCCCGTTTTGTGTTTTTCACAAAGGCTCCGTCTGTTCTCCAGGAGCATTCCGCGTGTTCGCGTCCACCATTGTGCACTTACATCCCCCCCCTCCTTTTTTTTTTGCGCTTTCATCTTTTTCTTGATTATTTTGCATCTCCCGTCCATCGAGAGAGTTGCACACCCGCGAGTAGCGAACAACTCCCCGACGTAGTGACCTATAGGGTGCCCTCTAAATGTCATTTACACGACCCGTGTAGTGTATTTTTACGTATATTCATTTTTGCCACTTGAATCCGAGATATACGCAGTGAACAGGGAGACGCAAAATCTTGGCACATCGTCATTCGGGAGCAGGGCGATACCTTGCATTATATCGCGTACACAGTAGTCCCCTGGGTGGCCTTGGTAGAAGAATTTCTCCCGAAATCGGAGAGAAAAGAAGAGGTAGAATACAAGTTTGAACGAAGGAATAGAGGCTCAGCAGAGGAAGAAGCAAGGAAGACATTGCGAAGAAGCGGGCCAAATTAAACAGCAACAGGGGCACGCTGCGAATCGGAGACTGCAGGCCATTACGCCAGATATCTCACCCAACTGCGTGCCATTACGCCAGTTACATCTCCCAACTGCACGCCAAACGGAATCCCCAAATTGGAAGGAAAAAAAAATGGACGCCTTCTACATATACACCGAAAAGGGCAGGAAGTTGTTGGAACAGATTTTCGCAAATGATATAAATGCGGAAGCGACTCAGGAAGAAGTTAAAGGTATACTATTGGGGAGCAATCCAATGGAAAGCTCCAATTGCACCGTAATCAGCAGTGGTGATGATGAAAGTATAATCAGAAAGCCTTTCGAAGGGAAATTCATCTTCCTCATTAAGAAGGATTCTCTCTACTTTGTAATTTTAAAGAAGGATGAAAACAATCCAGTGATGACAATCGAAGTGATTCGAGAAATCGTGGAACTTTTTAAAAAATTTTTTAACAGAGAAAAGCTGAGCGAAGACATCATAACGAATAATTATTCTGTTGTTATTTTTCTCATTAATGAAATATTAGCACAAGGAGGAAAGCCGAATGTATTTGTGAATGAAATTTTGAAAAATTTGGTTGCAATTGGTTCTGGGCTCCTCAACGAGACATTGAAATACACACCAGGGATGAGCAATATACGCAACTTGCTTGCATTAGGGAAAAATGTCTCAGGAGAGAATAAGTCCAAGGGAGTGAAGATTAATCACAGTTACAACAACGGAACGACAATCCACAGCCAGGATAAGCAAAATGTCTTTTGGAGAACAAATAATGTTTCTCATGTGAATAATAAAATATGTGTAGAAATCAGGGAGAATGTGAATTGCGTCTTGACTAGGAAGAACAAGATAATTCACTTTTCTATTCAAGGAAACGTTCACGTCCATTGCTCAATTAAAGGGTCACCATTGATTAAAATGATCTTTAACAGAGACATAAAGCTTCATTTGACCCACCTACATTACACTGCCAATTACAGTTTGATAGTTAAAAGGAGATTACGTAGTCCAGACGCAGAAAAAAACTCTTTTTTTTTCGTTCCCTTGAATGAGAGCTATATCATTATGCAGTACGTTTATTATTTCCCCTTGAAACCTAAGAAAAGGGGAGTGCACTCAACAAGCGCAAGTAGTTCTGTATCCACCGCTCCCGAGTTAACGAATGTGCTGAATTTAACAAATGACAACTCCACGCAGAGCGTTCCAGCGATATTGGATAAGAACACACAAGAAGGAAACAACCAGGTGGAAAAGAAAAACGATGAAGTGACTCAGGAGAATCATAAAAAGGAAGAGGAACTGAAAAATGAAAAGAGGGAAATTTCCCCAGCAGAAGATCGATTCAGGAGTTATATGGAAGAAAAGAAGAAACCCATTCCGGAAAAGCCGTTACATAGAAGTAATAACCAGGTTGTGACATTTTCACCTACCCTCGAAACTACCCATAACGTGGAGCAGAAAAATGGAAATATTCAGCCGAGTACCGACAATGACGGTATAATCGTAATTAGAGATACGCTACCGTGTGTACGGAATAATGAGCGCTACTTATTACCAATAAAGGTTAAGGGAGTTATCACTTATACACCTAACGAGTACAAGTATAATATCAAACTGCAACTTATCTTGAATGATATAAAGAGAAACTGTGATAGCGACATGAAGATAACTGGGTATGCGAACATCTCTGTAAAAATTCCAGTGTATAATTTCATAAAGTACGTTAATATAATCTGTACAGTAGGAACTATATCATACATTGAAAAGTGCAATTCTGTCTTCTGGTGCATCGACAAGGTGGAAAATTCGGACATTGACCTTTCGGCTGAGTTAACCTTATTTATACAACCCAATCCAGATGGAACATTTTGTAGCCATAGATATTATTATGAGAAGTTTGTAAGGTACAATAATGACGCGTTTATTAATGGGCTTCCGGATACTTCCCGAGGCAATGGCATTTCGAATTGCTCCTACCGTGGTGCGGGTGCTAAAAATCTCAAGATCATGAGAGGAAGCGATGGTTCCAGTATTTTTTCGAACCATCTGGCTAAGTGGCTCAATATAGACGCGGGTGCCTACCCCGACTTCTCTTTCCCCGTGTATGTCTCGTTTACGGTCATTGGGATAACAGCTTCGGGAAAGCGTGTCGAAAGAGTCGAGTTGAAGAGACCCAGTAATGCGTCCCTCCAAGCGGTGTACAGATACTGCACGACCTACAACCATGTAGAGTTTAGAATATAGGCACGGTGGCAGAAGTAGGGATATTTCTGGTGGTGAGGCATAGAGAGAGGAAGTATAACACTGGAAGCGGAACGTACAAATGTGAACAGTGTGAGCAATGCGCACCCCATGCAATTGCAGGGAAAAAAAAAAAAAAAAAACACCGATTTAGAGATGGACACATATAGAAGACACAGCTGGAGAGGGCACCGTTTAATATTTCTACAAACTCGAAGCACACGATATGTGGATGGGTGATGGCGAAATATCTTCAGTTCTTTTGCCTACTCTGCATTTCGACCGAGTGCATATCACATGTGTTTCCCTTTCGCGAGAATTTTTGATTCTGTTAGAAATAAAGAAGAAGATTGTGGAATGCATATTGTAGATTAGACATTACACATCGCACATTGCAGAATGGCAAAAAAACGGAGAGTGCCAATGCATGTGTGCTTTTCCGTCTCCATGAGGACCGAGCGCACACATAAGATTCGACGTGACTCAGTGGGGTGAAAACTGTACGACTACACCCGAGTTAGAGAGTACCGAGCTTTATAGAATTTTCCAGATCCAGGGTGTCGTCAACTCTGCACAAGGAAGTGCGAAAAAGGAGACAAGAAAATTACCATCGAGTGAGGCTAACAACGCTGAAGCGCGCATAATGATTCTCTATGCGTTCGCCTGGTTACGCTTTTTTTTTTTTCTCTCTTTTTTCTTTACCTGCACATCTTCTTGTGGAAGTCGACGTTCTTGTACAGGTTGATAATTTCCAGAAACTCCAAAGACTACAGAACAGACGAGGAAATGAAAAAGTAGTCATATTTTCGCAATCTAGATATTTTAATTTTCGTACTTAAGTGTTGTTAAACAGTTAAGTTACTTTGTAGGATCTGCTGATGTTTCCGTTTTCTCTCTGTCATTGGGGGTAAAAAGGAAATTCATATGTTAGTCAGGTTCGGTATGACAATGCTGTGAGATGTGGGTTTATATTTCCTTCTTGCAGTGAAAAAGTGGTTAGGGGTGGTCGGACGGTTCTTCCTTTTAATGGGTTGGTTTGGTTGGTTTTTCCCCTATCCAGCTGCCGATATGCCTTTTTTGTTTAAATTTTTTTTTCTCCTTTTTGTTTAAATTTTTTTTTCTTTTTTTTTTACGTTTTTCTGAGTTATCCGCATGAGGATCTCTATGACTGTCTTTAAATTTTTGATATATTGCAACATGTCTTCATTCGAGTGAAATTCAACTTTATCCTGCAAGGAGTCATCCAAGGGGTGGAGAAGTAGCGCTCATAACAAATGCCTCATGTGTGTGCGCAGGTGGCTGTTTGTTTAGTACTGTTGGAATGTCTAATCTGACAGCTGACGTAATCCTTCAGTACAACAAGAAAAAAAAAATTGTTTTACTTCCATATTAATCGAGTGAAAGTAGTTGTTTTGTTTCTCCAAGAATTTTTTTATTTTGTCCAGCTTCATGTTAATGTCTTCTAGTTCCTTTTCGCTACGAGGTTTACAGAACGATATTTCCAGCATGTTTCACACAGGTGTGTAGGGGAGGGAGGAAAGGATCCAAAGATGCGATATGAGTACTGGTGCACTAACGAGGGGGAAACTTCGTTTATCATTTCGTAGCTGTAGAAATGTATACCTTGCGAAGACGAGCTTGTACATATCATACATGTCATCCGATATTTTTTCTTTTTCCTGGTGTGAATCAGGAAGAGGAGCGGAACGGGGGAGTTAACAACGATCGAGAACACTGCCAGCACACACGTGTTCGCATGTGAAAAGGAGTATGTGCTGCCATTCGCCTGCCCACTGTGTCCAGTTTAACATTTAAAATTTTGTTCTTCAATATATTCTTGTCCTCCGAAAAGGTGTTTATGATGTCGTTATTGAGAACAATGTATTCCTTAATGGCGTCCTACGGTTTATACAAAAGTAGGGGAAGTACATGGCGGGAGAATAGAGCTAAAATGAAGAGAAAATTGGGAGAGAATCGCAACAATTCTGATAAAAAGGGGGGTATAGAATAAGGGAGGAGCAATGGTTGGAAGAATGACCCCGCAGCGCCTAAGCACATTCAGCTTAGCTTTACTTCGAGCTTCCTCTGAGATGACTCCTCCTCCTTTTGCAGCAAATTCTTTTTATTTTCTATATCTTGAAACTTTTGATTTATGTCATAAATATCTGTAACTCCCTGTTTTGTCGCACAGTGATGGAGTGCGTGGAAAAAAAAAAAAAAAAATTACATTCCTAGCTTGGACTGGAACAGTTGCGGTGATTTGCCTTTTACGCGCATTACTATGCGCATGTGTGTGTGTGCCCCCCCACATGGAGGCCATTTAGACGGGGGTTACATAAATCCCATTTTTTGTCCGATTAACTATTTTGCGGTTCATCGGCAGGGTTATTTCTCACGGGGGGTGGAGGTGATAATTGGACAGTTCTTTGGGAGTTCCCCTCTACATATATGTATCCATCCCCACATATACGGATCTCTCCTCACATATACATATATCTCTCTTTATATATGTCCTCTTCCTCCCTTTTTTTTTCGCCTCCTCCCCTTACGGTTGCCTCCCTCAGCTTCGATATGGTGGCATATATGTTGCTTGCATTTTCGAAGATGTTGGATGCGCTCAGTTTTAAGTAGTTGTTGAGTAGCAAGTAGTAGATGAGGAGCTTCTTGAATTTTTTTTTTTCCTCGACCATCAGCGCTATGTCTGCGTTGTGCAGTTTGTTGTTTTTGTATTGGCTGATCATTTCCCTGTGAGGGTTTGGGGGGAAAGTTGGCCCCGCAGGTGTGAAGAGGAAGCAAGGAAGGCAGCAGCGAAGGGGGAGCTATGCACAGACAAACAGGAATGAAGAAGCCAAGAAGAAGAAGCGAAGACGACGACGAGAGACAAATCTGCAGGGGCCTACGCATGCGTTTCCTTATAGCCATACCTCCTTATCCTGAGTATATTGCTGTGCTCCTTGTTGACATTCATATATTTGAGGATTTCCTCATTTTTATTTTTCGCCTTCAGGAGTTCCTGCAGGGGGGAAATTGGGGAACACATGAGGGGAAGGCCTCTCGTGCATCCACTCACATTTGTTTATCTGTGTCGGTTCCTCGGTTCATTTGGTGAACCCCTTGTAGTCACTCCTGTGCATTGTTGCAACTCTCATTTTGTGAAGCGTAGACAAAATGTGCGTCTCACCGTTTTTTTCTCATCGATGGATTTTTTTAAATTTTTATTTTCCGAAGTTATTTTTCTGTTATGATAGGGGCGCGGAGGGAATGCAAAAATCGGTGCCGACGGTAAACATGTCTACATGCTTATGACAGTGTCATCATGGTGTGGCGCCCATGAGGAATATGTCCTGTTTTTTTTTTTTTTTTCGCTGCTTCCATAATAGCATTACTGAATCGCGTTGTGCAATTGCCGTTCGTTATTTTTAAGGCCCGTGACTGTTCTTTCCAAGGAGTTTAAGTAGAAGTACAACATTTTCTTTTCCTTCTGTTTTTTTTGGGTGAAAAGAACATGGCATAAAAGGAGAGATTGGCGTTGTGCGTTGTCGACGGTTTGGGCGTTTCCCCGTCGAGACGCCTTCTTTCCATATCGCCTGGAAGCCCATTCGATAACTTTCTTGAGCTTTTGTTCGTCATTTGCCTCCCCCGGAGGTACCTACCTTGAGCCGTTGCAACATAATTTGGTAGGTGTGCTTGGAATGCTTGAGGTTTTCAAATTTATTTAATATCTCTTCATTCTTCGTCTTCAGTTCTTCATGTTCCTTTTTGTTTTTCGTAAATGCGATGTGTGCACAATTAGGTAAGTAACTTTGCAGATGCCCAGTTAGGTATCTGTCCATAATGCAGATACCTATCCACACAATGCCTATCCACGAAACTGAGTGAGCACATGTAGGGGAACATTTCCTCATTCCTCTGCTTATCATTCCTCCGCTTATCGTGCCTTCCCTTCTCATTTCGCCCTTCTCACTTTGTCCGAATTCGACTCTTTCTATGCATGGTGAATAGGCAGCTACCGAGGGGTGTGAAACTGCGACCCTCCTTTTATTACAATTTTTTGTTGCACGAGAGAAATCTTGTTGAGTTTTAATTCTCGATTGAGGAGGTCCAAATTTTTCTGCACCAAGGTGGAATGAGCGGTGGGTTGGAAGATCAACCGTGTGGGTTGTTACTTCGATCGCCTCTCCGTCCCTTCGTTGATTTTCTCCCATTTCACTTCTCCTGGGGGACATTTCATGCCAGCCATTCCTAGCCTCACCTTGGTGTCTTCATACTTATTAAATGTAGTCTCCTTTTTTTCCTTGATAAAGTTAAATTTCTTTTTTACTGAATATACAATGTCCTCTGTATTTTCGTTCAGTTTTTCATTGTCTTTCTGGGGTGGGGAGTGTTCAAGGGGCGCATTTTTGAAGTAGTCCCAATTGGGTAGCAGTTACTGCCTTCGAGTGTGGTTTCTTCTCACACATGGAGAACTGTTTATTTTTTCGTACCTTGTAGAAGGGCACCAAGTCCTTCAGATTACAGAGCTTGTCGTTGTTTTGGTTTTTCATTTTGCACTTGGGAGGATGCGGCGGAGGATACTTCTTTGGGTGCTTTTATTTTGTTTTGGCCTCACTTTTTGGCCCAATTTTTGGCCCAATTTTTATCCCGCTTCTTATTTAATTTGTTTTCCTTTTTATCCCAGTCTGCTTTCAGTTGCCAAAGGTCGAGGTAAAAATGTAGGGAAAATAAATCCCGGCTAGTGTGTTGTGTTAACTTGCCTGTGCCTCTACTCACTGATCGGTGGCCTACACATGCACACACGTATACTCCCCCCCGAGGGTGTAAAAATGTTTCCCCTATTATGTACCTGCCGGTCAATTCGTCTGGATATGGGTTAAATTGCCTCCTTTTGAAATTTTTTTCGTTGAGAAACGTGAAGAGAAGAAAAAGGAAGCATAGTAAAAATATGTAGAGTGAAAAAGACACAATGGAGAAAAAAAAAAGAAAGAAGCATTAGGCTATATCCCTCGTCATCGCATAAAATGGAAGCTTTATTTTTTTTTTTTATGTACACATTTTTGCAACTCGTACTTTAGTCACTATTAAGCGTAAATGAGTTTACAATTACGCCGCTTCGTGTCACGGGGAAGCTTCCTTCTTGGGGGGTTAAGAAGGCCGAGTGTACCGGTTTGAAGGGACTGACGAGATGTGCGCTCATACGCAGTGCGTGGCGGCGTCTTTGTCGAATTCCCATGAAGACACGGCAGCAGAATAGGCGCAGCACGTGGAGTATTGTACCGGCGCGCACAGCGCTCTTCAAAGCGGACGCTCCATATAATCTGTGCCAAAACGGCGACTAGTTAAATTCGCAACGGTGTGGGGACACCTTACGAATGTCATACTTGATATAAATTTTAATCAGTTTTCTTAAAAAAAGTACCAAAAATTATTTTTTTTAGAGTTATAAAAAAGGGTGGGCTGATTAGACGAATTACTGAAAGCGCACACGCATACTTTTATCAAAATGCGTGGCGAAAATAATTAAAAAAAAAAAAGAGAGATACAGAAAGGTATAGGGAGATATAAAGAGGTACTTAACGGGACAGAGAAATGTGAAAACAAATGTCTTTTTTTTTTTCTCTCTCTCCCTCTTTTTATTAAATTATGACATATATTTTTCTGGGGAGTGGATCCTTGAATAAGGCTTATGTGCGGCTTTCACTATACCGTTTCAATATCCACCCCGTTTGCACACATGGTGTGGCTTTTCTTACTTGATTTGCAGAGGCAGGTTAGCTCTTCCCCGTTTGGGAAAGGAGGCCCCCCATTTGTCACAAGGATCTAATATATAATAAGAGAACGTACACGTAGCAAGGTGCATAGCGCGTATGCCCATTTTGGGTGTATTATTACCCAATCTTCAATTGGCCGCCGCGTGCGTGTCAGGGGGGAGTGGACAAAACCGTACCGATAACGTTGACTTGTGATATGCCCCCATCAGGATGGAGCGAAATTTTAAAGTGAGTGGCTGTCCTCTCCATGATGGTGAAATTATACTCAAGCAAATTAAAATTGTAAAAAGTTTTCTTGTGATCGTTGGCCAATTTACATGGAGGGAGTTGCATCCAATCTATTTTTTTCTTTTCCATGTTTTCGTCTTCTTCAAAAATGCGTTTCTGTTCCAGTAAATCCAAAGTGAGCATGTCTACACAGTCTAATAAGTATATTTGGATATATTCTGGATGATCATGTTTGTAATTGCCAATGTCGAAGGTAAAATTTTCGATGACGCCCCGAACACCGAATTTAAAAATGGAAACATTTTTAATTGAGTTGTAAGTAAGTGTGCGTAGAATAATTGGTGGCCTATTGGACAATCTTTTTGTTGAGAAGCCATCCGTTTTATACGAATCGATCATATTTTTCGGATGGCCTTTGTGTATATCATCACAATGGTAGTATATTAAAGTACATCCATTTTCTGGTTTATTTAGGAAAATCTTCTGTTTCGATAAAATGGTATGCTTCTTAAATAGGGTGACGAATTCGCCATAAAATTTTATTTTATTTATGCCTCCATCTGGATATAAATTAATCCGTATATGTGTCCATGGCTTGATCAAGGACAGGTCGTTAACTTTAAAATAGTAGATTTTTTTTTTATGAAAACATTTGAGGAAATCTACACAGTCGGCTTGGAGTAATTCAACCCAGGGAGTATTTTGATTTTCCAGAATGTCTGATATGGATTTATCAATTTTGTAGGATTCTAAAAAATTGTAGCTTTTTCTTTTTGCAATTTTCTGTTCCCTGTGTTCTGCTCCTTCTTTCTCTTCCGTTTCGTTCATTATGTATTCTTCCTCTTTGATAATTTCGTCAATACAGGGATTTTCCACCACCTCGATTGACAAATGGGGGCATATATCTTCCTCCATATTTTCGAAATTTATCTCTATTCCGTATATAACACTCGGATACTTCAATTTGAGTATTAGCCACTCGTGTCCTACGTCCCTCCTTCTTCTAGTCACCCATCCGACCTTGTCTTCAATCATTATGTTTTCCGATTTGCTAATCGACTCGTCCGTTACGAAAAGGACTTTTGACCCAAAATGTTTAGACAAAATGTTGTTAAAATTGAGAAAGTGTACTTCCTCTTTCGTTTCAATTTCTTTCGATGGGATCTTCACATTTTTACTCACAACCCAGCTGAAGATATTGTTAAAAAGGCTTAAAATTTTCCTTTTTTTTTTTTTCTTCAATTTATAATTTGATTCATTATTCCCTCCTGTTTCCACACACAGTGGGGCTTCTCCCCCCGTTGGTTCCTCCTCCCCGCTGACTTCACTCGGTCCTATTTCTTGTAGCTTTCTTTTCTTCGCACTTTTCGCAGATTTCTCTTCATTGGAGCGACTCAACGTTTTGCCTTCCTCCTCGGTCGTCTCTTCCTGGCTATTCATCATTGTGTGTTTTGGTCTCTTCCCCGTCCGAGTGCGTCTTCATGAATGCTTCCTGGCCGTTCGTTTGGTCTTGCTGGGATATGCTCTTATTGTCGTTCACCTAGGGGGTCCCTCCTGTTCTCTACCTACGTGTGTGGGATTATAAGTATACGCCTATATATGTGTATTCCACTCAGTGTGACAAAGGGGCAGTCTCACGCATGTATGTACATTGCACGACGCGGTAGGGAAGTGCGCGAGTGCACATGTGAGCTGCGTGAATTATATGTTCTTCTGTCACGTGGAAGAAAGGTTCCGCGCGTTTTCTTCTCTTTTTTTTTTTTTTTTCTGCACATCATGTGGAAGAAGCTGTACCGTTAGGCGCACATCGTGTGTGCTTTACATAACGTTGAATAGGGAGATGATTTTTCTTTATTTTTCCATGCCGTCAAGATAATTACCCAGTTTGGCACAGCACTTTGTATATCTCTTCTTCTCATTTGGAGAAATTCCTCCAACTGTTGTAGATCCTACGCCGCATCTCACAAATGTGCCATCGCGTTTTGAACGCGAATAAGGTGGCCACAAGTTGACGCAGAAAAAGGATTCTCACATTTGGAGTAATGATATGGGGCCCAAGAAGTGTCGCTACTGTTTTGATACCATGCGCATGAAAGGGAGGGGGGGCGTAAAAAAGTTGTGTTACTTCCCCTTTTTAACGATGACTAGGGTTGATAAATGAAGGAGGCGACGTGGTTACAAAGGTGTGGTTCCCTGCCGAGGCAGCCACGGTGGAGCATTAAACTGAACGAAGCTGATTTGAATAACATTTATACGGTGAAGTATCGGTTATACATTGAAGTATCAGTTTCACAAAAGTGCGACAGGAGGTGCATTCACGGGTGGGACAGGTGGTCAGTGGACATTACCACTTCCCTTCCCCCGCGATACCACCAACTGAGGGTATTGTCACAAATACAAATGGGTGGAGTACACACAGAGAGGTAGCTAGTTATAAAATTTAACCTTTTTTTTAGAATATATATGAGCTTCTAAGGTAGGATTTGCATTCATGGAGTGGGGGGAAAAATCGTTTGGCGACTATGCCGTGAAGTTTGCATTCGTGTAGGGTTGACACGCATGTGACACCTCTATGCGATTTGTTCAGGTTTCCTCGAAGTGTTTTCCCAGCTTCTGCCTGTTACAGATTGGTGGGAATAAGGAGGAGAAAAACCTACTGGAGAATGTTTTTTTTTTTTTTTTTGCTGATCATTATATGTAGAACTTCCTCATCATATGTTACGGTTACGAATGTATGTATATACATTTTTGAAAACGCCACGTTGTGGTGTGCCTATAAAAAAAATTTCTCCAGTTTTGCTTTGCGAGTAATCCACGCAAGTGTTAAATTATGCTCCTTTTTTTATAGAGGCCTTATTTATCTTTTTTTTCTTTCCCCTCGATCTTCCTCGCGTGTGCGACACATTGCAATGAACTGGGCAATAAAAAAAAAAGAACAAGTGAAAAGATTACTTGGGTGACATAAAGGTTTATTCTCGTGGGGAGACACATAAATGGCGAAATGGAAATTTAAAATGAAACGACTGTTTATTCCAAATGTTAAGAGAAGAAGTTCCATTTTGAAGAAAGAAATGGCAGACTTGAGGGGTAAAATAAAATAATGCCATAATTTTTAGCCATGCTTAAATGTCTGCAAATCGCGAACGGGGTTTTAAAAAGGCATAGGCTAACAGAAGGCGACATTACACCACACGGTATGCTACAATAATATGGAAGAAAAAGGGAAAAAATGAATTACCTTGGGAGGAGTTACTCTGTCCATGTGCTATTTTTCGAACTATGGAAGACGTCGGCGCTTACCACCGAGAGAGCAAATCGAATCGGCGAGGTGGAAAAGCGGCTGTGTACAAAATTAGACGTGAGAGATTTGAAGTTCGCAATTTAAAAAATAATCCGGTGCGCGCAGGTGTACGTTGTTTCTCGTTTGTTAATTTTTTCCCTTTTTTTTTAAGGTTCTTTTTTTTTTCGTTTTAATTTTTCCATTTTTGATACGCTGGTCATTCTGCCAGGTCTCCCCACGTGCCCCCATGCAACGCTGAAAATGTAATAACCCCTACTTGTGGGTGGGCGTAAACTGCGCGCGAGAAGAAATGAAAGCAGAGTTGGCGCGCGTGAACCGAGCTAACAACCTCACTTTGGTACACAGCGGCAGTGTGTCCCGTTAGAAGCAGCTAATTTTCATTTACTGCGTAGCTGTTGTGAAGACAGGTGCGGACACAAACTTCGGGACAGAATAGCGTGTAACCTTTTACGCAGAAATTATGTGGTCTCCTCCAGATTGTTCATCCCGAGGTGAGTGAGCATTTTTTGAGAAGGACATTTCGCTGAAGTAGCCAAGGGATATAAAATGTATTCCGCTTGACCAGCCGGAACATTCGCATGGTGAAATAAAAAATGGGGAGAATAACTGTCGCTCATTTTGTTTTTCCCTTTTTTTGGTACATACCGAAAGAAACACAAAATTGAGAAGAACCATTTTAACAAAAGGGCTATAATACCGGTGTGTGTGTGTAAAATTACCGTCACAAATGTGTGAAACAAATGTGAAAGGAAAAAAAAAAAAAAAAAAAAGGGAATTTGTGTGTGCTCTTTTCTTTATCCCCCTCTTTTCCATTTCGTACAGGTAGGAAATGAAAAAATAGCGTAATTATTAATTAGAAAAAGCGCAAATGAGAGGGTCGCATAAATGCCCGCAACCTTTGCGTTAGAATGACTCATATATGCAAAGGTGAGAAATACGACAGAGAGCGGAAAATAAAAAAAAAAAAAAGAAAACGCACAGATGTCTTCGCGTAATCTCGTTGTTACCAATTCCCGGAGGGGAAAGGTGAATTTTTTAATCGCCCTAACCTAAAAAGCAACTCTTGTACGCTTTTTTTTCAATTTTGTGTGTGAAAATTTCCGCTTAAGGGATGCGCAGCAGGGAAGGAATAAAATAAGATACCTCCTTGGACGCTTAGCGCAATCGGCTTGGTGTTTAGTCAGTAGTTTGGTTTTTTTTTCCCCTGTTTGGTTGCCTTTTGGGTAATTTTTTTTATAATTTTCCCTATCCGTGAGTAGCACAGACCTGTATGTGCACGTGTGCCCCGTTGCTCACCCACCAAGGGGGGATTGGTGCGTCAGGTTTTGCGAGCCGCTTCGTCGAAATGGGATGGGAAAGTTGAAAAAGGAAAAACAAAAAAAGAGGGCAACTTGGTGAAGGAAAAACAGGGTAAAACGTTTAGGGGAGACATACTTCACCTCCCCACGGTTTGTGCTGCCTCCACACCGTGCTCGCGACGAACCCATGGAGGGGACGAAACAGGAGAGGGGACAAGGGGAAGGGAGTCAGGACGAGGAAGGGGACGACTTCCGCAGTGTATACAAACGAGTGGTAGTAAAAAATAAAAGTCTAAATGAAAAGACAAACAGTAACAAAGCATTTTCGGAGATGCTGGAAATAAGCAGAATTACTGATTACAACATGGTGATGAAATATGAGTACCTCCTCAAGTTAAGTTTCTTTAGTAGCAACGTGAACGTATTGAATGTATATCGATTAGTGAAGCCGGAAAGTGAAAAACAATTTGACGAAATCGCAGCTCGTTTGAGAAGCAACATCCTACTTAGTATAATGGACACAAACAAAATAAATGATAAAAGTGAACATGTGGGTGAATACTTTACAAAAAATTATGAACAGCTCAAACACCTGGAGTTTGTCATTGGGAACACAGATTATCCACTAGGGTTTGAAAAGAACACCAATGGGGTTTTTCGAGTATACCTCTTTAAGGTAATACCCAGCAAGACGCTCTTATTAAATAAAAATAATTTGAGTTACATGGAAAAGGACGAAATGCCAAGTAATTACGACTCAGTTGCCGTGGATAAAGATCTGTTCTATGAGCAGTTGGGTTCATCGGAGCGGAGGCAGGGGGGGGAAGGGGAGAACGACCTGACAGGCGGCGGGCAAAACAAGGGAACATCGATAAGCATGACGAGGGGAAGAAGTAACTATAGCTACATATACAAAGTCAGATCAGCCGAACAGGTACTTCCTCTGCTGCTAATCGAGTTTGAGTTTAAATGCCTACGGGTCGACATCAGCGTGCCGATATGTGAATACTGCTACACAGCTAAGGCTATTTATTATTGTCATAACGATAAGGTCCATCTGTGCAACATATGTGACATAAAACATCATGAGAAAAATAAAATCTTGAAGAATCATAGGAGGATGCCAATATCAGAGTCTCCATACCAATTTGGAAAATGTGCCTACCATCCGAATGAGGTAGTCGAAAGTGTTTGCATGAAGTGCTATTGTAGTCTGTGCCCCAATTGTCTGCTGATAGGGAGTCACTCCAAGGGCAATTATCGTAATCACCCCATTGTGAATATAAAAGACGCATTCATTTTGTCCAATCGGAAGCAATCACTCAGTGATGTCAATTTGGAGAATAGGAAAGTTAGGATACTCGATTTGTTGAAAAGAAAACACAAACTACTAGCAGAGATTTATTCCAACTACAGTTCTTTGCAGAAGCGAATCGATACCTTGTATAGGTACATCATTGATGAGTTAAAAGTTTTAAAAAAAAAAAAGATGCAATACATTATGGCGTTAAAAAGGGCTGTTCTATCTCAACTACTCACCATCGAATGGACAGATGCCTTTTTTTATCATACCAAATTGTCCTTAAATTTGTCTGACTTTATTTTATACCAGAAGAAACATGAATTGACTGTCCAATTTTTAATGGCCAAAAAGGGGAAAGATTCAGATTTTATGAAAAGCGCACCACATTGGCTGTTCCAGAAAATTTACGTCCAATCCAGTTTGAGCATTTATGAAGATAGCTTTTTTAAGCTTAACTTTGTTAGCCCCAAGGATCTCGACGAAGGGATGACAAAGAGGGACATAGATAGGAAGCGTTGCGTACTGAAGGGAAGTCGTAACAAGCTGGAAGAGATGTACAATTTTAACAACGCCTTTAATGACAAGAAGGGGTACTTGGGGCTGTATGACGAAACAGCCTTCGAGGGGGGAACCAAGGCAGAGGAAAGTGCACATCCAGCGAGCGTTAAGTACTCCGTCGCGCAGGATGCAGAGGTGAAGCAGTCGCCTCAAGAAACCGCGCATGACAGTTTCTCAAATCCAATAGAACCTGCGAACACAACCAAATTGAGCAACAAAGACGTGCAGAGCGTTCTCAAGATAAAGAAGGAGTATGCGTCGATGTATGATGTGACTGAAGAGAAACCAACCAACTGCAATTTGTTAATCGAAATTTTTAGAGACACAGGGGAGGTGAACTTATGCGGGCGGGGAACGATCCCTCTGAAGCAATCGCACATTTGCAGAGAGTTGTGGAAGCACCTGGTTAATTACAAATATATAAATGTCATCCATATACTAAAGGCGCGGTGTAGCTTGAATACCCTCCTGCTTACGCACTCCTTTTTCAACGTCGCGTCTTATTATGACAGCCTGGAAGATCTAGTGAAGCACATCATTAAACACGAAATTTATACTCTGCTTAATAAAAACATCGACTACCATACGAAGATGAAGGTCACCCATGTTTTGGACAGCGTCGCCACGTTGTTATGTCTCCGGAGGTTTGTCCTCGCACCTTGGGTTGATAAATATATCCAGCTGTGCTGTTCACAGGTTGGGAATGAGGAAAGAGGTGTGTCTTCCCCAAGTGGAGAGGCCTCCCCAAAGGGGGATATAATCTATGAGAAAAATTCAGAGGTGAAAGATGAACACACGTCATCGGTTCATTCAGCAAATGAGAAGGTAAAGGGTACCAATCTGATCAGAAAAAGTGACCCTGGTGAGGTGACAAAAGGGGATAAGCATAGCTACGGCGAATTTCGAATACGCATGGAAGAGGAGGAGTTCCCAACAGATGGGGGAAATAACACGGTGTTGGGTGACCGAACCGTGCTGGATGACCAAACCGTGTTGGAAGAGGATAATGCAATCTTGGAAGACATGAACACAAAGAAGGATGGACACCACATGAGGAGCAGAAACGGACATGATGTCATGGCGGATGTGTGCCTAACTGTAGATGAAAAGCAGGAGCTGTCCACGTTGAAAAAAATAAAAGAACACATATACGTATATTTAGAAATGCTGATCAACGATTTGGTGAAAATCCCTCACAAGAACCTAAACGACGGTGTACGATTTATGTTTTATCTTATCCATGACGAAATTGACGGAAAAAATAAAAACTTAGCGATGAATGAGAAGAAGTTCAGTATACACACTTTGTGTCTCTGTTTGGATATATTTCTTAACTCTGTGTTGTACCCTTACATTTTTTACGTGCACGAGGAGAACTTGAAGGATCAGGTGAAGACTCCGACGTGGAAGGATTCTTCTCTTCATCAGAAAGTGGCAGTTATGTTTGGCCAAACGGTACGAGAAATTTCGATATATGTCTTTCAAATTTACAATTTAGGAATGTATGACAGCAACTTGAAGGCGTTCATAAATAACATAAAGGATAATAAAATGCTTCGTGGGAGGACCACAAACGAGAAGATGTTCTTCCTCGACGTGTCGCAGAAGGTTAGCGCTTCGGAGTTTGGCCCGCACTGTGAGGTGGGAGGTCTGTTGGCGGGTCGTTCACTTGATCGCTTCTGCGTCCTATTTTTTTTGGCTCAAACCGATTTGGTAGTCGGTGTAGGGCAATTCTTGTAAAGGGGAGAGGGGCAGCAAAGGATAATCAGCTTCCCCCTCCTTTGCACTTTCCTCTTTGCACTTTCCCATTTGCACTTTCTCATTTCCACTTCCCCCTTTGCACTTTCCCCTTTGCAGCTCTTCCAATGGATAATCAAAAATTTGGAGTCGCCCAGGTACTACGCCCCCGTGAGGTGGACCTACCGCGAGGGGGTCGAAAAAAGTTACCAGCGGATCGTCCAGGAAATTGTTCACATAGACGAGTCCTCGACAAACAATTGTGTAAAAGAGAATGTTGATTATAACGTCTTATTCAGCACCGAGAATTTTAGGGAGATTCTGTCTCTGTGCTACTCGATGCAAGGCGTAGGCGCGTGAGTGTACGAAAAAAAGAGAAAAAGAAAAAATAAGCGACATGCGCGGTGGAGCGCAACACACTGCAGATAGAGAAGCAAACGGGAGTGTGAAACACTGAAGTGCGGCGAGCAGATGCACCACAGAACAAAAAACAAATTCGATGAAGCTCAGTGGAGCACTGAGACGGTGCTGCGAGGTGAAGAGATGAGACAAAAAGGAGGAAGCCCCAGAGCATGTGTCGTTAATATGCAGAAATGCACAGCAGTCCGCACACAGTGACACAGATGCGGGTGATTATGATAAGATTATCACAAAATTATGATGGTGAAGGGAAGGCCGGGTCACTCCCAACTGACAAATGAAGAAAATGAAAAACGGGGCAAAATATCCCCGGTGTACACTTCACAGAAGTGTGTTGACGCGTATCGAAGTGCATCAACGGGAATAGACGCACGACGAGGGTGAACGGGCCTGTGGTGAACCATACGTCTAGAAAGGAAATTCTGACCAAAGGTCTGTGCAGAACAGAGATGAGGAAATATGCGCATGGGTAAAAAGAGGAAAAAGTAAAACACCACTATGCTGTAGTAGGCGCGTCCAGGTTGCTACCCACCCACATGAGCAAGTTCAACCAAAATGGAGGCCACCCTTTACTACAACTCGTTTATGTTTCTGTAAACTTTCGCCCAAAGATCTTTCGGAGATGCAATTCCACAGGATATGTGATAACTTGAGGTTTGATTAAAGAGGACATATACGGCCAAGAGGACGTCTATCTTTTCTATTCTACTCAGTATAAGATTATCCGTGAGAAGAAATTTATTTTTATACTTTAGTGGGAAGTGGGTCAATTGCATCCCTGAGATTTTATCGACAAAAAATTTCAAATCTTTGGTTTTCTTATTTAAGTAAGATAACTTGGCATTCTCTATTAAGTAATCAGAATAGTTGTAAAAATTTTTTGTAAAATTTTCAAAGCTGGAAAGAACTTCATTTTTTATAACTTTTAAATCTTTCGGATTTGTCTGAACTAGTAAGGTAAAGAAGCCTGCAAAATATTTTTCATAGTTTATAAATTCAAAGGAAGAATCATAAGTTAATTCTTTTTTTTCTCGCAAATAGTGAAATAATTTACTGTTCAGTATGTACTGAATGATGTAAGATACTGCATTGAAGAATATCGGGTTGGTATATAATTTTTTTTTTCTTGTAATTAATTCTGTCATATCTTCCTTCTTGTATTTTTCCATGTTGATATGATTTATAATTTGTGTGAATCCTTTACCTGTGGTGTTTTTTTCGACATGCTCATCTTCCAATTCGTGATATAGAAGAACCTTTTTTAGAAATTGTAGTAAGTATAACGATATGTGCACCCCATTGGAGAGGAAGCCAAAGTGGTTGGCACTCTTTCCGATGAGGAGGAAAATTGCGTGATCTTCTTTTTCGTTTAAATACACGTAGGTAGGTTCCTTTATTTTCTGTTCGAAGTTTTGAAGTGGGCACAGGAGGGAGTACTGGTCTTCAAGCGGGTCTCTTCCCATGGGTTTGTCGTTCTTCTGTGGGTTGTTTTCATCACCATGGGGATTAATTCCTTGGAGGGTTACTCCTTCCAATGTTGTTGTGTTCCCATTTGTGGGCACTTCTCTTCTAACTGAAAGCGTTCCAATGTAATGCAGCACGTAGTAGTGCAAAAAATCGGATATGTCTCCTACAACGGTAAGCTCAAACAGGAAGGGGTCGCTAAAGAGGTGCTTTAGCACCTTCTGCACCGTTTCCAGGGAGATTTCTTCGGCTTCTCGCAGGTCGAAGTTTTGGTAGCCCATGGCGCCGTCGGACAGGTACGAGATGGTTTGGCCCAGCAGGAAGGACTGCAAGGGGGGCAGAAGCAGAGTAAATGTGGCGTAAATGTGACACCCACGACGCTACACGGACGTAGCACCGTAGATACACCCGCGGGGAAATCCTTACCTGGAGATTGTTCTTATACTCGTAGAAGTCCTTCCGGAGTTTGTCCACGACCCTCTTGAGTGCAGACTCCTCAACCCGCGTTTGCAGTAAAATATTGTTAAGTATGGAAAAGGCCGAGTTGATATTTTCGTGTTTATTATACGTATAAATATCGATAAAAAAATACTCGTCATTAATGTCGATGCATATATTTATGCTCCTATTGCTGCAATGAATTTCGACGTTTTCACGACTGATGCTTTCTATTTCTCCTCCCTCGAAGAGGCATATAACTGAGAATAATAAGGGAAACACGTTTTTTTTTTTTTTTTTCAGTATGTCATTATGCGGTATGATTAATCTGAGGTATATGTTTTTTCTGTCTATTTGTGTTTTGTATAAGTTCACTTTGATCCCGTTTGCCAGTTGGTAGTTTTCGACTTCTCTTTGGCCTTTCTCCGCCTCCACGTATTTCTTCAGGTTGACCCGGTATGCGCTTGCTTCGATCCTCAATTCGCTGGGCAGTTTGTCCAGTCTGGCACCCTTTTTTCCCTGCGCGGGGTGCCTTAGATGTGTGCCCTGTGGAGCGTCCAGCCCGTGATCGATTTCCCCCAGCTTGTTCTTGGCATCCATGTAGTAGCATGTGCGGAAGAGGGGAAAATTGGGGGCGGTGTACACAAGGGGTGCGGCGTCAATCTTGTCCAGAGTGTCAACAGGGGTCGGCGTGTAAATCTCCGTCGGTGTGTCCACACTAGGGAGGACGCAGAGGAGGGGATCCTGGTCCCTTTTGATCTGGTTGATCTTGTGAAGGATGCCAGAAAATATGTCTCTTCTGGGTGTGTCCCCCCCCCGGGGCTCTACATACCTAGCCATGTGCAATTTTGTTGTGATATTTTCATACACATATCTCTGTGACAGTAACGTGTTCTGAAATCTTAAGGAGAAATTGGGGACGTCATATACCGAATTGATGTTGTGTAGGAAGAGCTTCTTCACGTCATCCTTGTCGAAAGAATCGAAGTCTATGTGTGGGACATGGATAATAACACAGTTGGGCTTAAAATTGGTATGTCCTTTGAATATGTTAAACAAATATTGAAAATAATTTTTGGCAAAGGAATTAACTTGTTCTATTTTTAAATTATCAAAAATTTCTTGCTTGAGTTTTTTTTCCCTCTTCTCATTCAGGTAAACGTGTTTGCAAGAATTGTAGTCGATAATTTTTTGTATTTCGTCTGTGTACATTTCGTTCATTCGTGTTTCCAGGATTTGTTCCTCATCTTCCTTTTCTGGGTGCACGAGCTTCATTTGCTTTGTCCCTCCCCCGCTGGGTGAGATGGAATCGCCTTCGACAGTGCCTCCACCTGCATCGTCGTACTCAATCTCGTTCGCCCGATAATTTTGTAACTCGTCATTGCTAAACCCATGGGCTAGCAAACTTTTAATGAAGTCATAAAAAGCTGTCACAGCTTCTCCGAACGATTTTGTCGTTGTCTTTATTTCCACTGTTCTGATGGTGGCCCCTTCGTTAATATTCGTGTACTCATTAATATCTATGCTGTTAAATAAATCCCGCTTGTACACGTTAAATCGGAAGGACAGGCAATAAAACATAACGTCTTTCATGACATAAATTTTGTAATCCTCCATCGTGCGAATGCTTTTTATTTCCTCCTTCATCAGTATATTTATGTTGACATTATTTAGAGAATATTTGATAATTTCAAAATCTGTTGTGGGGTTGAAGTTTCCTTTTTTACCTGACTTGTTTAGAATTTTTTCTTCTTCCAATTTTGGTTGGTACTTTTCGGTGAGGTAGGCTCTAAACTTGAGCTCGCTCAGGGCTTCGTTTTGAAACGTGCTTCGCAATTCGTTCAGTTTGCGCGCGTCAACGATGTTGTCATCTGGGTATTCGTCGTCGGGGGAGGCAGTGGTGGAACGGTTGTCGGTGTTGTCAGTTTTTTCGGTGTTGTCAGTGTTTTCTGTGTTGTCCATGTTGTCGGCGTTCTCTGCGTTTTCGGCGTTTCCGTCTTTTTCGGCCTTTTCGGAAGTGTCCTTCTTATCGCCAGGTGTGCTATCTCTACCTGTGTGTATCTTTTCTTTTCTTGTGTGGGTCCCTCCTCCTATGATGGATTCCCCTCCACACACTTCATGCATCTCCTCTGTTGACCCATTAGAGGAGCCACTTTCCGGGTTGCCCTTTCCTGAGCAATCCCCCCCATACATATGGACAATTGCGGGTAGATTTTTATTTCTGGATCGCAAAGTGTTGTCATTCAAAATGGCCAGGTATTTCATGTCCTCCGGTGTTAGTTCCTCCTTTTTCACATCCTGAAATTTTTCGCTTACCAACTTGCGGGCTATGTCCACGTTCACATCTCCGTAGATGTAGAGGTTGACATTTTCCGTTCTGAAGAAAAGGTCGAAGTATTTCTTGATGTCCTTTGGCTCGTACCTCTTCAGCAGTTCCAGCTTGCCGATGGGCAGTCGATGGCTCAGTCTGCGGTGAGGGAAGAGATAAGAGACGCGATGAGGGGAGCGGCGACGTAAGCAATCAGTGGAGTGAATGCTAACAGTGTGATGAAGGGGTGCCTGCAGTCGCGCGATCCCCCAGTGGCGCACCTGTTTTCCTTGTGCAGCGTTTTAATAATGTCTGAGTTCATTTTATATTCCACCGTGTTGATAATGCTGTACTCGGAAAAAATGGCCTTCTTCTCCTTAACAATTCGTTCCCTGTTGAATTGAGTTTCTCCTTTTAGTACTTCAACCATGGTGTCAATGCACTTGGACAGGATGGCATGCTTGTAGTTAAATTCGTCTACTGTGTAAATATCGTAGTCTTCAATTTTGTCTTCCTTAACATTTTTTACAACATTGTCGTACTGGAAGTGGATGAAGGAGTTCTCTTTGTAGAGCTCTTTGTTCAGGCTGACGCTTATGTAAAAGACGATGTGGTGAAAATCGGTGTAGGCGTTTGTGCGGATATTTTTGTCTATGATGTTTTTTCGATTTCTGCGAGGGGTGGTAAAGAGAGTAAGGTGCGGAAGTGTATAAAACAGGGTGCGAAAAGTGTATAAAACAGTGTCGGAAGAGTTTGCTTCTTCTTGAGGCGACACGTGGAGCATATCTAAGCCACGACAACAATGGCCTACTTGGAACCCATGTAGGAGACATGCTCGCAAAGGTGACTTATCCCCTGCTGGTTTTTCTTTTCATTCACACTGCCAGTGTTGACTTCCATGTAAACGTGCATCTCCTCGTAGTTGTAGTCAATTGGATTTGTGTAATTTTTGTATTCATTTGAAATTTTGTGCGAAGGTAATATCACGTGTTTTTCGTTACTTAAAATGTACTTCTTTCTATTTTTGTTTTTTCTTTTTTTGTAGATGATGCTGGTCAGGCGGTTGGGTAGTTCGTACTTTATCAGATCATCGTCTTCTTTTAGTTCGTTAGTCTGCAGTTGGGGTTGAAAACACGGGGCATAGGGGGGTGAGGTCGGCGGAATGACATATGTCCGTGCATGCATATGAAGTTGGGTGCGCCGACGGACAGGTGGTCTATATATATACTCGTGGTATATACATATACGCGTGGTGCATACATATACGCGTGGTGCATACATATACGCGTGGTGCATACATATACACGTGGTGTATACATATACGCGTGGTGTATACATATACGCGTGGTGTATACATATCCACGTGTGGTTAACGAAAGGGACACCCTATTTGTTGCTGTTTTGTCCGGCAATCACGCCCCATTTCAAACCGCCCCGCATCGAAAGCGGACGGTACACTGGCCCTTTCTATGAGCAAACGTTGAATTTTCTTTAAATTGGTATCATATTGTCCGCAAGCAGGGAGTGAAAAATGGGAAGGTGCCCAGAGGGGAACGTGATAAACGTGCGCGGAAAAGAAAAACGCATAAATTGTCTAAACGTGCCAAATTAAAGCGGCACGAATTGCGGAGAAAGAAGAAAAAAAGAAAAAAAAAGTTAACACGTCGCAAAAAGGAACGCTTGAAATTCACTCGACCGCGTCACACATTCAGTTCCCATACGGAACACAAGACCTTCTTGAAATAAAAAGAGACGAATATTTTGTAGGAGAGAAAAACTGCGCAATGGAATATGCAATTCTCGTGATGATGGAAAAATAGGAAAATGCACTCTATCCATTTCTTCCTCTTTAAAAATTCATATCTTCTTTCCATTATGCCAATTATAGCGTCAATTCGACATTAAAATTGCTGTTCAAATCGTCGTCTATGTCGACTTTACGGTCATACAGATTTCTGAGGTACAAACCATACTGCTTAGCGAAATAGGTGATAATTATATTTGCCCCCGATCTTAGATAGCTTTTAAAGAGCTCCGTCAAAATTTCATTTTCATAATTTATGTGTGCATTCAAATGTTTGATGTAATTTTTGATCATCATGTATTCACCAGAGACGTTATAAACAGCCAGTGGCACCGTGGCGTTTCTGCCCATTCTGCTTCTAATACGACTGACCACGTCTAGATAAAATAACGACGGTTTAACCATGAGGATATCGGCCCCTTCGCTGATGTCTGCAAGGAAAAAAAAAAAAGAAAAAAAAGGACACAAAATATATAAAATATACAAAATGTAGAAAAAAGGAAAAATTCGATTTATTAGCAATTTTTTGGGACTCCACATGTATATGCATTTTCTTCCCTTGGAGGGAAGCGCAAAACGGTGGGCACACACATAATGTACTTTTTCGAGTGTCTATTGTTCGCTTATTACGTTTCTCCACATGGTTGAGGTCATAGTACGCGTTAAAGTCGTGCTGATATGATTGCTTATTTTTGACGACGTTTTTGTGAATGTTGGAATTCAGGATGGATCTAAATGGTTTATAGAGGCATGAGGAATACTTGCACGTGTAGGACAATATGAGGACATTTCTGAAGTTGTGAAAATCTAGGTTTTTCCTAATTTGCTCAATTCTGTTGTCCATGGAATCGCTGGGGCACACTACATCGGCGCCGCACTTGGCTAGGCATAGGGACTGCGAAAGGGGAGCAAATGTGGGAGGAGCCACTATAATGATGCTTCTCGTTCGTTTGCGCGGTTGGGAATGCCCCTCCCACTGCGCAATAGAGTACAAGCAAAAATGGGGATGGCCCTCGAAAGAAAAATAAAAAAAATAAAAGAAATAAATAAGTAAAATAAAAATAAAGATAAAACTCAAATGAGGAGAAGTTCTGCGCAATTGCATTCATTACCTGCTTCACCAGCGTGTGCACCGTAACGTCGTTGAGTATTTCCCCCTCCTGTTCGTCATATATTCCATCATGCCCGTATATGTTGTACGGGTCCAGAGCCACGTCCACGTAAATCACAACTTGGTTTTTAAATTTTTGTTTTATTTTGTTTATCACGTTGCAGAAGTAGCTGCTTTCATTGTAGCATTCGGAGCAGTAAGTCGTTTTATTTTCTTCCTTCACGACTGGGAAAAACATAAAGTGGTGAATATTCAGTTGTAAGCATTCTTCTATCTCTTTCACGATTCCGTCTAAGTTGTAGGTGTAGATTCCATCCAGCTGGGTTTCCTTCTTTGGGGTATCCTGCGGAGTAAATGTCATACAGGGGAAATGTTCAGACGAGAGCACTACAGAGGTGGCACGGTTACAAAGAAGGAGGCTTTCTTTTTGTGCGAATCCATTTTGTACCTCCTCATGAATGAACATCGGATAAATAAAGTTCGACATCCGTATGCTATTGTTACTGTATAAGGAGCGCAAGTGCTTATTCCTCTTTATCCTCCTTTCCCTTCTATTCGTTTCGATGTAGACATTGTCGTTTATGTCTTTTGAAAAATTTTTTAGGTTGCATTGCCTTGCCACATTTTCGTTGTACACATCTTCAGTCGATTTCTGGTCTTTACTTAAATCGCTCAGATTCTGATTATGATTTTTAGAGTTCGAAATAAATAATGCGTTTTTAATTCACACAAAATTGATCAATGCTTAATAGGTGGGTGATTCAAATGTGCGTAGTTTTGGGGGCGTCTTCATCGGAGAAGCGGTTCGGCGGAGCGGCGTGATGTGGCACTCAGATGTGGTAAGCGCGGGCGAATGTGGGTGGCGAGAACGTGGCGCTCACACGTTGATGAGCGGTGTGCCACCTCAGCGGTGGACACCACAGATGTATGCACTGTGTCAATGGATATGCGGCATGTATGCACTGTGTCCGCGGTTACCCCGCATGTATGCGCCTGGCAACATGCGCACAACCACAGTCACATTTCACTAAACAAACATGCAAAGTATCACTTGGGGGGGCAGGGTGACTTTCTTTTTCAGTTACGTCGTTTGGCAGAAATTGCTCAATCGGCGCGCATTTTTTATATTTTTTTTTAGTACGTTATTGTTCTGTGGGCTATTCCATCTTCTGAAGGGCGCCTTGTACCTCTGAAAGGGGGAGGAAGCGTAGCGTGCCCATGTAAAAGGTTGTAATTGTGTATGTACGGTGTGTGCAAAGGCATAAGCTTATGTGCACGTGCCTATGTAAACGTGAATGCGTGTATGTGCAGGTCCAAATAGGAACAACTGTTACCTTGGTCGACGGCGGAGAGTACAAGATGTAGGCGCTTTTACAGATGTTGCTATTAAGACAACACACCAAATTAAGGAGAGAAAAGTAAAGCAAAATTATTCCGTTTATTTTTATCATTTTTGGTGTATTTTCCACGTGTACTAGCTAAAAGGGCAAAATGAACAAGTTAAAGTGTGGAATTTACATAGGGTTTTTTATTTTGTCATGTATACGTCAAAACAGGAGGAGCTCATTGGTGTCAGGTAGAAGAGGAGTGTTGGATTGAGAAATGCTCCTACGTATGGTTAAGATGTTTTTTTTCTATCATGTTCTCCCTTCTACTTGTGGGTGTGCAAAACGGCATATTTTGTGAGCACCATTTGGTTAAATAATACAATAATGTGTTTTTTTTTTTTTTTTCCCTTTTTACTTCTTCGAGAAGTACTATGCGCCTAGGGGTTCACAGGAAAAGGCGTATGCCAACACAGATATTTTTCGGCTACTTTGGCGCGTTGAAAAGTGATTCTTCAAATACACGCTCATTTTTGTTAACTTATGAGATGTGGGAATATGGCTCATGGATTGTTTGAGAAAATGCGTTCTACCATTTCGACTCTATTTGCGTGTATATGTCCCTATGTACAAATTTATACCTCTTCCTTTGCGCCGCAGAATATACCATCTGGGGAGGAAACAAACTGGTTCGAACGTTCAATTGTGTTAAACGTTAACCGGGTACATAATCGAAATGTAGAAACGGTTAGCAAATAATTATGATAAAAGTTGTAGTTCCTGTCGGTAATAATGCAGTGGGATGTAGATTATGGCGGCGCCAATGACGCATGAAGCAGGAAAAGAAGTGCCAACACGTGTAAATCGCGTACATTTCTTTTTACCCGCAGTTATGCGAATGGTTTAAAAGGAGCACAATAACTCGTGGAATCGTGGTGAAAATTAAAAAAAAAAAAAAACAAGATCCAAGATAGCAATACAAACGCAGCGAAACATGAGAAGCACGGTTACAATTTGGGTAAAGCGACGTGATGTAAAGAAGCAGCAAGGTGTAATTTGTCGCCCCGGAGGAGATATATATTCTCTCCTTCCCATTGCCGAATTATTATAACCCGTGAAAAGGTTACTTGATAATGTTAAACCTTCTGGGTTGAATGAAAGGCGATTTCTGTTTTTTTTCTTTTGTAGCTTTCTTAACGAACCAAACGAAAAAATTACTCAGAAGAAGGTGTAACATTCCGTGTAGAAAAAAAGGACACCCCCTTATGACATGCGTTGTCTCCTTCTATTGGAAAATAGAAACACGAGCGTTTGGAACACTTCCAAATGGAGCCAGTTATTTTTCTTATATTGGGGAAAATTTCCATAAGCTAAATAAGCATCCGTCATCATGTGTGTGCGCTCGAACTTTGAAGATTGCGAGACTGCCATTTTGTCAGAAGCAGCGTGATATCATAAGAAAAAAAAAGAAAAAAGAAACGACAATTGTAAGAAGTAAAAATTGCCGCTTTTGATGTTAATCCAAAGTGTTGCAAGGGAAAACTGCTTAACCATTTTCACGAGGAAAAAGTTTGTGCAAATGGTTAGACCAGCTAACCATTTGGGCTTTTTAAAAAAAAAAAAAAAAGGTAAAACAAACAGCGGGATATTTAAAAAAAAATTCCGAACCGTGAATAACTTTTTAAAATTTCCCCTTCTTTTAACGATTTATTTATTTATTTTTTTAAACCCCCTTGCGTATGGCGCTTTACAATTTTCTTCCTTCACATTTGCGCCAATTGTCAGCCCTTTTTTAAAGTATCTTATAAAAACACAATGCCTTATTCGTTTTATCCAACGTGAGAGATGACTGAAAGGATAGCTTGAAGAAATAAAAAAAAGGAAATAAAAAATAAAACGGCGATATGTCCTTTTCCCGGAAATATGAGACGATACATGGGAAATTCCGCGCATGTGTATTTCCCTCCCCTCTTATGAATACATTACATTTATTTACCTTCAATGGCAATTTGGCAAAAAATAGACAATTTTTGAATTTGGCATTTTTTTTTGTGCTACGTTTCTACATTATTATGTGAAAATTTTGTGTTTTGTGTTTGACCAAGCGTATAGGGTGCACATGGCATGTTCCATCCGTAGGGGCAAACCCATTCCTCCCTCGTGCACACGTTCTCGAGGATCTACTTAACAACGTATACATACTCGCTTAGTTGCATAAAGCCATCTTTTGAAGTAAATTTCTTATAAAGCAAGTATGCATCATGATTCGCCTTTTTTCTTTTTAATGAGCTGACTTGAAGTAATTTTTTTTTTTAAACGAGAAATTGTCAATTGGTGCACAATTTTTATGGTGGTGAAAAACGCAAGCGCGACACACAAATTCGCGGGTGTCTAAGAAGTCGGTTTTATGGCGTTTTATTATATATATATCTATTTATATATATTTATTTATATATTATTTACTTATTCATTCATTTCCTTATTTTTTAATCTGTCAATATTGGCATATAACTTGGCACCCAAGGGGACCAACCGCACGCTTCCCCTTTGATACGCTTTTCAAAAGGGCACATCGCAAAGAGTGGCAAAATTATAACAAAAACTGCTTTGAGGCAGTTTGTTCTAGAAAATTACCCCGCTCGTTTGGAATCGGTCACTTGGGAGCATGTTCACTCTCAGGTTTCATTTTTGCCCATTTTGACACAATTGACATTTTACGTGTCACCCCATTTTGAAAGGAAAATTTTTAAGGAGCCCCATCCACCCAGCATTTTTTTTAAACGAGTCAATACACACACGTGCACAAAATTCACGCATGCGCACTACACCTTGCGCCATTTGACTCCTTTTCGTTTTACGTTAAACGGTTCATTTCATGCATACAGCTGGAATGTACTTAATTTTTTTTTTTGTTTTTTCTCCACTGTTTACGTTTTATTTAATTTCCTCTTTTTTAACTTTTTAAATTGACGAGATATTGGCTATTGGTTATGTTCGCTTAAACGGTTGAGCGAGTGTAAAGGGGAAGCACATGCACACACATGAATGTATGCCCTTATGTACAATCTTAAGCGTGCGTATGTATGTGTAAACGCGTGCTACCAGGAAGAGTTTTCCAAATTAACCACGCTTATATCCCCCCGAACGAGATGGATGTGCTGAGAAGAGGCGACACGCTAAACCCGAAGGTTAAAAGGAGTAGGAGCATAATCCAAAGGGACGAAAGAAACCAGGAGCAGGGCAGCGGGGGGAATCATCACCAACTCGTGATTTATGGGAATTCTTTCAAAAACAATTCGCTAGGCTACGCATGGAATGCATACTTTGATAAGAACAAAATAAAGAAGAATATTATGGTATGCTGTGATTTAAGCAAGATTTGCGATGACATCTTAAAAGGAGTAGAGAACAACAGCTTGACTATTAAAACGTTTTCCTTTCTGCTCATTGGGGTGTGTAACATATACAAAAAGAAGGTGTATTTTATCGGTCAAGATTACGATTTTTTAAAAAGGAAGATCCTGTCTCTGTACAAAAATAAGGACAATGAATTGAACGACTTGACGGTAACTGGTAAGGATTCCAAGAGGAGAAAGTTAGGAAAAGACAACGAAGATGATAGTAACAAAAGCGGAAGTAAAAAGAGGCTAAATAGAAATTCACTCAATATAAAGAGGGGTTCCATTGGCTTGAACGAACTAATCCCATCCGTAATTGAAAATTTTACGGGAAGGAAATCTCGCTTTTCTCTGAACGCTGATGAGATAAGTATTGCCGGGACAGAGCACAACAGTTACAATGACATGTTTAACGAGAACGAAATGAATAATCAGATGCTTCTGGAGATTTCCGGCCTGAACTACCTGAACTTTGACCACGAAAATGAAAACACCGAGAATGACAATGGTAATGATCATCGTAATAGTAATAGCGGTATTAATAATAACTACATGGGTGGAAATCATGGAAGCGCCAGCCACCGTAGTAGTGTTCACAGCAGTATGGGTCACTACCACGACATGGAGAAGGCATTAGAGGGGTCGTACATTTCTAGGAATAGCATCCCGATGAACAACTTTGATGGGCTGCATCTGAATAGGACGCTATCCGAGTCGTTTCACAACCCCATGGATAATTTGAACTTGGAAAATTCTATATTGAACAATATGATTCCGAAGAACATGTTTTCTAATTTGGAAAATTCCATGAATGAGCGGGGCAGCATGATGGGTGAATTTAACGACTTGGAGCTTAACTCGGTCCACAGGAGTGACGGGTTGGGCTCTATGAATCGGTTCAACGATGGTGTGGATAGAGGTGACAATTCTGGAGTGAACCCCGATGGGAGTACAGAGAAAAGGAACCTCCAGAATGAATTCGCCAATGTGGGAGGCGCACAAGGATTTCACCATCCCTCTGCAATCTTGAACGTACAGGGAAATGAAAACGGAAAGGGGGTAAACCCAAATGATGGCAATCCGGATGGCAATCCATATGGAAATCCGTTTAGTAACAACTTGAACGGGATGACGAGCACATCTATGAATTTCCCAAACATGCCGTACAACGTGTCTCCAGGGAGCAACCATTTTATGGGAAGGTACCATACCATGAATGCTTCTATGCATAACAGAAACGACCTGTACAATTTGAATCCATTTATGAGCATGCATTCAATGAATAACAATAATATGGACGGTAGAAATAGTTATGCTCCCTACGCCCAAAGGATTCCAAATCATAACACTTTTGGAGACTTAGATGTGATGAGTAACGTGATGGTGGGTAGCATGTTCACTCCCCAGAAGAAGAGAAACTTGTCCAAGAAGAATGCCTACTTGGGAGCCCTAAACTTTGAGTCTTATCAGAATTTTGATTATTTCCATCAGAAGGATGACGATGCTTTTATTAAAAAGTTGAACACGCTGCTCGGGTTGGATGATGATGATGAGGGAGAAGCAGAACAGAGGGGAAAGAACCATCGAGATGATGGGAAAGGGGGTGAAGAGGGAGAAGAAGAGGATGACGTGCATTTAGTAGGGCAAGGGGATAATGGAAAGAGGGGACCTACAATCGAGGGAGGGGTGAGCAACTCCAAAACGGGAGAAAATGACAAATGTGTAAATAACCAAATAGTTCTGAACGATGAGGGGGAGAAGGAAAAAGACAAAGAGGGAGGTTCTTCTGCCCTGAATGGATCCGGCACAAATCAGCTGGTAGGGAAGAAAAGAAAACTAGAAAAACACATTATTGATAAGAATTATATGATAAAGGATGCGATGATGAGGGGGATGCTGAGAAACGAAAGCGTAGACTACAAACATTTCCTAATCGACACAATAAATAACGAAATAAATGAGAAGATGCAGAAGGAGTATCCGTCCTTTCAACATTTCTTCTTGCACAGCAACACCGATAAGGTAAGAATTGTCCACAAGTTGGAAATAAATTTTGGGTACGAATCTCAGGATTGTGAGAAGAAGAGAAAAACTCTCGAAAATTATTTAACCTGCTCAGTGGGTAACAAGTCCTTTTTATATGAAAATAAAAACGTGTTTGATCACTTTAGTATAAAGAAATGTCTGGATAATATCGAAGAGAGTATGGCATCGAATGAGAACGAGACGTTGTCAAACCACTTCTTATCATTTGACGGGGAACACGAAGTAGGGACGATGAAAAGTGACAACCATATGATGCATTTCGAGGAGGTGCGAGAGCAGATTGATGGAATGCAATTTGACCTACCGAATGAGAACCACATAAATGAGTACAGAAATCGCTTCAGCATCGATCCGTCTCTATCACAGCACGAGCAGATCGACCTAAATTTGAACGATCTAAATATGAAAGATTTGAGTATTAACGATTTGAATGTCAACGATTTGAATGTCAACGATTTGAATGTCAACGATTTGAATGTCAACGATTTGAGTGTCAACGATATGAGTGTAAACGATTTGAGTATTAACGATATGAATATTAAGGACTACATGGGTTCTAGATTGCACCTGGATAGTCAAATATCCAAAAGTTTGGTGCCTTACGGAGAAAATGGTAGCGTGGAGAAAAATGACGAATTAGCAGTGAATGGCAATTTCCTAAATGACCGACTCAATTCTGAATTCACCCCCTCGTCGGCTTCCCCCCACCTCCTCGATTTGTCCATGAACTCGAATTATAACTTCTCCGATGTTTTCACAAAGGACAATGAAAGTTCATTTTTGGATGATAAGAGTGTACAAGTGGAAATAAATCTGAACCAAGACTTTGACTTAATTGCCAAGGAGTTACTGGAGGTGTACAAGAATTTATCGACAAAAATTAATTACATCTTTTTCGATCTCATTACGAAGAATAGACAATCCAAGGATGAAGTAGCTGTTTTGTTTTACATCACTTTGCACTTGGCAAATTTGGGGTACATAAACATAGTGCAGAAGCCGATTCTTGCGGAGCAGCTCAGTTCCTATGGGGAGAATTCCTCGAGGCCGATCCTCATTCAGTACATGGGTCAAAGGGACGACTGAGGGGGTACAAGGCTATCTTTCTTTTGCGCCGTTAAGGATGGGGTTTACCTTTGGGGGGAGAATGGGGCGTTCTTCAGGTGGGGGGTTCTTCCGATGCGGAGTGTTTTTTTTTTTTTTCCACCCAGAGAAGAAGCCCCCCACCTGTTTGGCCTTGCCTAGGTGCGCACAAACGAATACGTGGTAACGCGCGTAGGCCAACTTTCGTCTTTCTTTGTGCACCCCGTTTTCATTTTTTGGAAATTTAAACGTGCTGTCCATTTAGTCTTCTGGGCTGTAACGCATTTTTACGCCATGCACACCGCTTGGCTACTTCCACAATTGTAAATTAACTTTTGAATAATCTTAAGGTGAGGAAATTTCTGAATGTTCAGATGCGGCTGTTCGGAGGAGGCTAAGCTGACCAAGGGCTCGCGCCTAGAAGCACAAGTCCTGTAGGCGGTGTGCCTGCGTAAATGTCTCCCCCTCCCAATTCGGGTATGGGTTCCCAACTGAGATATGATCTAAATGAAAGGAGGTCTTGACGCCCGGATGCGTGAAGCTACTGAATCAATTCGCTCGATCATCCCCTCGGGGTAAAAATACCACAGGAGATTCATCTTACTATGTGGGCTTGTATGTGTATATGTATTTTCTTTTTTTTTTTTTTGTGTGTTATCCGCTCGACTTGTGAAGCGAAGTGTACTTCTGTGTGGGTGCGTCCCTTGGGAAATGTTACAACCAAAAGGGGAGTAGGAGAAATGGTAATTTATTCTTTTCCCCCGAAGAAATACTCCCTGGAGGTTAGCTAACACTATGAGGAATGAAGCATTCTGTTCGTTCATAAATGGTTATCCTTTTTTTTTTCTTCTTCCCCCCAAAATGAAGCAGTACGACGCGCGCTTTGAGTAGTGCGGCATTAGGACACTCTGCCATGGTAGGATATATGTGCCACTGCTACCGGGGGGCATGTAAAAAGTGTAAATCTTTGCAAAGAGGGAATGTCTAATTTTTCAGAGACGTTTGGTTTGTCAATATTGGTCAAGGGGTAGGCACATGGGTCGGGGTCGCTTCTTAAGGTTCCTAATTTTTTTTAATTAAGCTGCGAGCGGTTTCCCCTATTTGAATTTTCCCCTTTTTTTCCCCTGTGACACATTTCCCCTTTTAATTTTCCCCGTTTTCACATTTTCAATTTAATTTTTTTTTTTTCCTCTTTTTTTCTTTGCGTATGCCATGTTTTTTAAATA